TTATATTGACAATCTCAGGAATTCCGTAGTGTCGAAGAAGTTTCCATAACGTCCTCCTATCTACACTGTCGAATGCCTTTTCATAATCAATGAAGTTGATGTATAATGATGAGTTCCACTCAACTGATTGTTCGACGATGATCCGTAGAGTTGCAATTTGGTCTGTGCACGACCGATCCTTACGGAATCCAGCTTGTTGATCTCGAAGTTGGGCGTCTACTGCATCCTTCATCCGGTTCAGCAACACTCTGTTGAAGACTTTCCCTGGTATTGACAGTAGTGTAATGCCTCTGTAGTTTTCACATTTGCTCAGATCTCCTTTCTTTGGAATCTTGACGAGGTGTCCTTCTTTCCAGTCCATCGGCACTTGTTCCTCCTCCCAAATCTTTTTGAATAGAAGATAAAGCATGCTTGTGGTTGTTTCGATGTCTGATTTCAGTGCTTCAGCTGGTATGTTGTCGGGTCCTGCTGGTAAAAACGCTTACCAGAAAGGAAACGAGACGAAACGATAAGCGGCGGAGAAGGCAAGTGATCCACCTCCATTTAGTCAAGCGTGAATCGATATTTATAGCTAGATAAAAACAAGTTATAGACATGTAATGGGTAAGATAAGAATTGCACGCATATACACTTACATAAAAACAGCCAGGGTTGACAAGCAAATAATTTTAATAGTTGAGATATTGAGTCAATTGAAGCTAAGCCACCACGGAAAACCTGGAAGCACTGGACAGACATTTCTTCCTGTTGCGTGGCTCCTCAGCACTGCACATCCACGATCCCGCCTCGCGAGATCCGAACCCAGGACCTATCGATCTCGCGCACGAACGCTTAACCTCTAGACTACTAAGCCGGCATCCAACGGCGTTTATGTCTAACTTCAACTAATCCACGAAATTGAGCGACACATCCATATCCAAATCTAGCTTCAATTGACCTATGATCTCAACTATTAAAATTACTATAATATCCACAAAAACCCCTTCCGATATTAAGCGATGATAATTAACAAGATCAAAACGTGACTCCAGAAGAATGAGCAGATTGGCCTGTCTATAAGCTAGAATAAGGTATATGGATTTAACACAGTAACCAACACTACAAGTTTATATTCATATCTCTAAACTCAAAACTTCTAACAATGTTTTTTGGTAAATGTTTACGACGAAACTATAATTTATGGACGAACCAATGAGATTTACGATAACAAGTCTTGGATTTTGGCGCGAAATTCACTCACCGATTCGTTCACATAGCGTCTTGGCATTTCAGCTGATGTCAGTTCGTGATGAAAACCATAAATCTAAATCCTAACCCTTATCATTAACCGTAATTCATTATTATTATTCCTTAAACTGCCTTATAACCTTCATTTAACCCTATTAAATAAGTAAATACTCCTAAGGTCAAGTTGGCGTCGCTCAAATGTCGTCCATAAATTATATTCTTACCATTTTTACTTAGAAAGGTTTAGGTAGACAGCCATCTGTTTAACACTGAAAGAAATTTTACATTGCTTACAAGTGATGATAAATTCTTATCACAATATTCATCATAAGAAACAACGTTGAAATGAATTAACAGTTGAACAACAAGTGACATTTATGCTGTACTTCAATTTATAACAATCTTCATTATATGTAGGAATATGGCTCTTATATGCACACAAAAATAATATTCATATACAGACCTTTATAGACAAAACATAGTGCACTATGCACCATTCTTAAAGACGTATACACAACTAAATACTTGGGTTTCAACAGGAAATATTTCATTAAAATTTATCTATGATCCACAGATACACTACGTAAAACGATAATGGATGGAGATACACTTCAAATGTTTTTTTAAAGATTATAACAACATTTATCGATGGTAAGTGATTATTTTAAATGTTTGCTGCCAAAGAGGTGGTCACAGAGACCTGAGAGCGTTGCCCCAGGGGCAACTGCTTGAGGCCGGTCATACACAACCTTTCGTGTTAGCTCCGTACTTGTTGAGACCTTACCGCCGGAGACAGATGTCCGTGGGATAAAGTGAGGTGTGCATTTTTAGCGTCAAAGTTTTCTAACCTCACCATTCCTTGTGTGAAGGGAGCATCACTGTTATGCTGGTTGTCTGAGGAAAACACCTTACCACCGTCACACCTCTGTACAGTCGGTGGTACGACTTCGCCTTCAGACCTTGAGTTTGCTGCATTTGGTCTTACCGCTCTCCAATCGACATATCTGGGATGGTAGAACCTTGAAGAACGATTGTTCTAGCCAGTATAGCTCAATTGGGTCATCAAAATAGGCAAGCCCACCCACAAAGTCAAGGTAGCAGCAACGGTCGGGACTTGTAAGATATAATTTTATTATTAGTCTTTTTAAGATAGTTTTTATTGTATAAAATGAAAGTTATATGATATTGATTTGTGTCATATTCTACTTACTTATCTCCTTCTTTCTCTTTGTGCATATTACATATTATTTCAGATTTAGAAAGAATTTTACAACGACAAAAACGTTTTGATGATTTATGTACATTATATACCATTTATGAACCAGATCAAGTTGTAACACAATGTTGTTGTATTGGTTGTAATCGTAAGTATTTAGAACAATTCTGTAATCCAAATTAAAAATATTTTTTGTTTTTTTTTCCAAGAAAAAATTTGTCTATTCTATAAATAAAAGAGAAAAAGGAGAGAAAACAAAAAGAATAAAGAGAAAAAAATAAAAAAAAATAAAAATTATTTTCATCCAGATGGTTTTTCTCTTTTTTTTTAGTTGTTTTAATGTACTTCGGATAGATGTATATACGTCAGTCAAATAAAGTTTTAGCTTACTAAAACTGGGAACATTCTAAAGAAGTTTATTTTCTGTATAACTTTCACTTATTATTATTCAGTTTATTATGAACATTTGTCAATCAATATGTCTAGCCTTCAAATACCTTGATATGGCTGAGAGTGTGAAGAGTCAGCTCTCTCTCTCTCTCTCTCTCGAAATGTTCTCACATGGCTATTTGCATACAACCACTGCCAGGGAAGTCCTACTTAATACCTTTTTGCGGCGGGGTTATTGTTTATATAATTGATAGGATGAAAAGCGAATGTCCGGTGCTTTAACCGGGTTGGTGGATACGGTGAATCCACTTAGGGGAGTTGGAAAGCCCTGATTCCAAACAAATGGTGTACATGGGCTCCAGTATCCTGCAGGGACAAATGGCATATGAACCAATCGTTGGTCACCGGTTACCATGGTACCGCATCTCCTCAGTTTGCTTCACTGCCTTGTGGATCAGACCTTTAGGTCAAAGGCCCCAGGTGTGATCCCGTACGGAAACAACCGGCTTCGGTTTGGGCACCCGGGTAGTAACCTAGCCCTCACACAAATCGAATGATTTATGTGGAGCATATCTATTCTGTTTCGCCTTGTACCAAAGTTTTTGCGTTCAAATAAATACTAAACAAATGACATTATGTCATTAAAACAATTAGAAAATTATGACACACTACAATATAGAATATACAGAATGCTCTAATCAACTAACATTGTCCATTCATCTTGTAGATCACTAACATAGATGATATATGTCGAATGATTGACGGCCTACTCGAGTTAGACGGCAATAGTGTAACCAAAAGCTAATTTCAAAGTCACGTAGATCGGCGGCCTGCTTGAATATCTGGGCTACCTGTTTCTGCCATCTGATTATTTCAACAAGTTATCTGTTTTTTCATTTGTTTTAATTTATAATTATGTCCATTAATCGCATAACCTATTCAGGCGCTTTTATGAAAAGCCTACGACCTTCCGCTGCACAAGTTACGAAAAAGTACTATAAAAGGCATCGTGGTGGTTGGCAATATGCGTTAAAGAGAATGAACATTAATCATATGTCAATTCCCGAGCTACTAAATTCTAACTGCCGATCACTAATCAACAAAGTGGACTATCTGCAATTCTTACTTAGTCAAAATACGTATCGTAATTGTGGTGTCATCACAGTTCAGGAATCTTGGTTGAATGATTTACAGGATGACTGCCTTGTATCACTACGTGATTTTAAAATTTATCGTCAGGATCGATCGAACAATAAAAAGAGGTGTGGTGGCGGTGTAGCTACGTTTGTAAACATAAACTGGTGTCGATCTTCGTTTGTGTGTTTTAAGTTTTCAAATGACTTTATCGACTGTCTAACTCTAAGATGTCGTCCAAAACATCTGAATAAATACAAATATGTTTATGTGACCAATATCTACGTGACTCCAGATTGCACATCATCTACACTATCTGTTTTTGCTGATGAATTCACTGAGTTCGCTGTTACTGCCTTCAGTGATTCACTTTCAGTTGTATGTGGTGATTTCAATTCATGTGACTGTAGCTTCCTTACGTCACTAGGTCACCAAAATGTAGTAGATTTTCCTACCCGTCTGGATGCTCATCTAGACTTCGTCTTCATTAATGATGTGGGTATATATGCGACTCGTAAACGTGCTCCATTGTCTAGCTCAGATCACTGTATAATTCGTGTTCTACCTAAAGTATATGGAAAGCATGGGAAGAGTACACTCCTACGTCAAACCAGAAAAGCCAAATATAGGAATTACACAGAAGAAAATATCCGAAATCTGAAAAACATGTTTCATACGACTAACTGGGAATTATTTACAGATGACTCACTGGAAAACACTACTGATGTTATCACTTGTTACCTTAAATTCTGTTTTGATATTTGTTGTCCCACCGAAACCATTTTTGTAAGTTTTGATCGACTTACATCTTCACAACTAAAACGACTACGAAGGATGAAAGAAAGCATGTACAAGGAGAAGAACTCTAATGAAGTTCGTAAGCTAAATGGTCTGATAAACCTAGAAATTAGACGTCTTAACTGTATGTTTACTCAAAAGCTCTTATCTTGCAAAAACTCTCCAAGTATGTGGAAATTCTGTAAAGAACTTACAGGTGACAGAAAGTTTAGAATCGATAACCAGATGAATGTTTGTGACTTAAATAAGTCTTTTGTACGTCAGTCATCTGATGTGATGCTCCCTCTATCCACGGGTTTAAAAACTAGCTGTGTTCCTACTTTCACTGAAACTGATGTACGAGGATGTCTCCAGTCGCTTAATTCATCTCGATGTTTGGGACCTGATGGTATCCCAAACATCCTTTTTAAAAAATGTGCTGACGTTCTGTGTCATCCGTTCACAACTATATTTAACAGATCCTTCTCATCTAATCTCATACCGAAAATGTGGAGAAAGATGAAGATAATTCCTGTACCCAAGAAAGCATTTGGTGATAAGAATGTAAAATTTAGACCTATTGCAATAACTTCACCCTTCCTCAAAACCATGGAAAAATTATTAATTCTTCCACTTCAGCCTGCGATAAAAGAGCATACTGACCCATACCAGTTTGCATACAGGCGCAAAAGAAGCACTTTAGATGCTGTTGCAGTTCTGCATCACAACATAGTGTTCAACTTAGAAAAAGGTAAGAAGTATGTTCGATGTACTTTTCTGGACTATACTTCAGCTTTTGACTCTATACCAAGACAACGTTTACTTAACAAGTTAATCAGCGTCAACACTGACAGCTGGATAACCAACTGGCTATGTTCCTACCTCTCTGGAAGGGAACAATACACTGTGTTTGGAGGAAAGAGTTCAGAGTCTCTACTGTCTCATGAAGGTGTACCACAAGGAGCTGTTCTTTCACCTCTTCTATTCTCTTTTTTTCTGCATGACCTGCCATCTTCCACAGAAAACACTTTTGTGAAGTATGCGGATGACCTCACTGTATGTATGTCTATATCTTCCTCTTTACATCCCATAGAAATGAATGAGTTTTTGTCTCGTATTGATTGTTGGTCTGTTGGTAATGGTCTCATACTTAATCCGTCTAAATGTCAAGCTGTTAACTTTAGCATGAGACATAAACGGAATATAAACACTATTTTGAGATCCCATAGTGCTTGTACCATCGGAGACTCTTTGATAAACTCAGTGTCGAAGGTCAATTATCTTGGTGTCACCTTTTCCTCTGATCTGTCTTGGTCTTCCCACGTTTTATCGTTATCGAAGAAGGTTTTCCGTCTGACCTATTACATAAAGAGATTGCATGCTCTTGGAATTACTCGTCATTTACTCTTACAATTTGTCAATTCTTGCATACTACCTATTATTCTTTACTGTTCTCCATTATTCTTTCCCGGGCTTTTGAGAAAAGACTTTGCTGTATTGCGGAGAATGCTGAAGGCAGTTAGCAAGGTGTGTGGTGAATCTTTCGAGGTCATAATTAATATGGTTGTGGATAGACATTTAAAATCATGCAAACTCCTGGCAGGTGTTATTTTATCAGATACTAGCCATCCCCTTCACTCTTATCTTTCTCCTTGTATATCTTCTGGTAGAACGAGACGTAATTACATTAAAATCCATGCACGCAAGGAAAAGTACAAATGTTCTATAATACCTTATCTAGCAAATATACTCTGTGACGAACAGGTTGTTAGAGTTAATCTAGCCAATAACCTGCATTCTTAACATGACTTTAATTTTAAATGTTGTACTGTTTTTCAAATATTTTTTTTTAAACTTTTTTTTTTGTCTTTGTTACTATTTTTGTTTGCATAAGTAACTTGTTGAAATACCCTGTGCTGAGAATTCTATATTGTACCAAAATATAATATTGAATAAAGCCATTAATAATAATAATAACATGGATTGCCCCTTCGACGTATCAAGATGTTATAACACAAAGGACGTTATTACGGAAATATATTAGTAAGAATTAGCACAAAGAAGATTTTCAGACCACCACCGCATGGGCCAATCCATGGCATATGATTAACTAACGCGCGTTGGTCGTGCTTGACTTTGACATGGATTGATTATCTGTTCAATATTCAGTGACCTAACTGCCGGATCATTTGACTAGGGCTCAGTTACATTTCAGTGACCCTACAATCTGGCTTATTCCTCAAGGAAGTGTCTAATTAGGTCCTTAGGTTAATTATTAAGCAATAAATACTCCTTCTAAAAGTATTTTCTTCGGTTTAGATTGAACTTCTATATAAAACCTAATAGTTAGGCATACTCTATAGTTGTCTTTAAAACGATGAAACATGGATTGTTAAATTTGTATAAAACGTAAACATTAAATCTATGACTGGAGATATAAGCTAATAAACCTCAATAATATTCTGATGATATTCACATTATATATTTGATTCAAAGCTTTTATTTGACTATCATCATGAAGGTAGCTGAAGAGATTTCTATGTTCATAATAAAACACAAGTGTAATTGTCAACTGTCATTTGGATGTATCATTTGTAATTAATTCGATAAACATTTAGGTTAAATATACCAAGAATAGTTAAATTCAATAATAAACATTTGTGTACAGTAAACTATCCTGAAAAACAATCAATGAATTACTATCAAATATACAATTAAATTACATGTATAAGGTATATTCCATTGCAGAGGGTAGCAGAATTGCGTTATTATTTGAAAGCGATATATAATAAGCTTAACTTATATAATGACACATGATATAATATCAAAACTGTTGACAATATAAAATCTGAAGGAATAATATCTCGGTTATACTGAGAACTGGATAAGGATAAGAATACACTCATTAACTTGCAGCATATGCGTGAATATACCAATAGGTGAAAGTAGTTATAAAAATTATATAACATCAATTGAGTTATAATATGAGGTAAATAAACATAATCACAAAATTTAAAACAATAAAATTGAATAGGATTCATGAGATAAATGTGAAGCTGGAAAACACGTTAATAAGGACAATGGCATGGTAACATCAGAAGAGTGAATGAAGTAAAACAATAAATACACAAAAATTTAGAAAAGAAAACAAAAGGATAAAAAGAAAAATATAGAAACACGCAGTAAACAAAATAAAAAATTCAAATCATTAAGGAAAAAAAATCAGAGAAAAATCAAGATAAAATAAAAAGGTGGGATGCTGCATAAAAACAAAAAAATGCTAACCCGCCAGACGAAAAGGCTCGAAAAACGTGACGAATGAGAAGTAGCTGTGTGCAAAGGTAGAGTGTGAGTGGTCCAAGAACACACTAGCACAGACACATTGACATCGCTGAAGCATCCATCTATGTCATCCAATACAACAAGCTATCCGAGACAGCATCAACATCTGACTCGATACACTGTGTCTAGGTGGTGTGCCATTCGATCGTCTCACAGACACCACAACCACTATTCCGGTCAGACGAAACGGTTCGACAAACGTGCCGACTGAGAAGTAGCTGTGTGCACTGGTCGAGTGTGAGTGGTGTGATGTGGTCGGAGGAATGCATCTTGAAGTGTTTCACGTGGTCAGTGGTCAGTGGTAGTTTAAAGACACCTGATAGGATGAGGCTCCTCCGTCACTCGAACTCGGGTCACTGGATTCGCAGGTGACAGTGGCAACCGCCACACCACCAGACAGTAGATGCACGCTCACCGCATACATAACATCACACATTCACACCACACATACAAACGACACGACATGCCATCAACAACATCGTTTCACTCACACAAAATATCCCACAGTGCACGCCAACAGTGCAATCACATACACACGTGCTCACTCATTCACTCACTCACTCACTCACTCGCTTGCTCGCTCGCTCGCTCACGCAATGTCACACACACACACACAAGCATCAATACTGCAACAGTCTGTGAAATAGAATGGCTCAATTACACATATGTGTAATCACATGCAGGTGCAGAAGTGTGGAGTAGGAGGAATCTGTGTGCATATGTGGTAGCCTCCTGGACATGTGTAATTGGGACACGCGTACGTAGTGGTGGGTGTGTGACCGCAATCGGTCGAACACAGACGACATAGTAGTTTGTGAATCACAGTTTGCCGTTCAGCCTGTTGATTGACCAGGTGATTGATCAGACTGAGGAGTGGTGTTGAGTGCAATGGTGAAGTGTGATTGGGACGACGTGATCGAAGGGTAGCTGCGAAGTTGTGCACATGGAGAGTGATAAATTCAAAAGTGCCCACTGGCACTAGGCCTCGCCGAGACTCGAACTCGGGTCGCTGGATTCAAAGTCCAGAGTGCTAACCGCTACACCACGAGGCCACTTTCGCGACGCAACCACACACACCACACCACACTACACCAAACCACACCACACATTCACAACATACCTACATCATACAGACAATATATCAACAACAATTCCTCACACAATTATACATTCCACTACCACGATCCACAACTACTACTACATCATCAACACTACAACACGCCATTTCCATATTCATCTTCATCTTCATCTTCATCTTGTCTTTCACATTCGCCGTCACCTACATCTACACACACAACAAAACTGAACCACTCACTCTTCCTCACATCCACGTGCATGCGCGTGGAGCAGACCGACAGTCAGACAAACATCTCAATCGCCTACCGAATTCCTGTCTTCGTGATTCACTCACTCACTCACTCACTCACTCACTCACTCACTCACTCACTCACTCACTCACTCACTCACTCACTCACTCACTCACTCACTCACTCACTCAATCACTCACTCACTC